AAACACTGTAGTTAAGCAGTGCCATACAAAAGTGGGATATTTGGGACTTTGCAAGAAATAGCAGGCAGAGCGCACAGCTTTAATGGTGGGGAATCCATTGCTTATTCTCAGGTGTGGCACAGGAAGGGTTGTCCCTGCTTAACCACCTCATTTATGTGGTGTTGCAACAAAGTAGTGCCTAGAGTGAAAATAAATGGAGGTGTTCAGGGACAGAAAATAGTTGCCATCATTTGCAAAGTCAGTTGCGGTATTTTTTCTCTATCATAAGCTGTTGTTAATTTGAAACATTACCATTTCCTTCCTGGACACGGTAATGTTTAGTTGGCAAATGAAACAATTTTTTGTTCGGAAAGCTCTTTGGAGATGAAAGGCATCAACGAAGTTGTCGTTATGTGTCCTGTGACTGCTTGGTTGAGGAGCTGGACTGTGTATTCTAAGTCTTTCTGATGCAGAGGCTTGAGTTGTTAGTCTGAGCCAATTTAGTCATTCTTCAGCTCTTACTTTTTTGGCTTTAATTGGCTTCCTACTGCATGTCACATTGCATTTTCCTTTGGCTGGCGGACATAGAGAGTCGACCTCCTTCTCTGGGCTGTTAAGAGAACATGTTTTCTTATGAGATAGAGCTGTCTCGTGCAGGCTGGAGGAAGCACCTTGTGTAAGAGAGTGCTGAAGCAGAAGTGTGTTCTTTGCAGTGATAACACCTTCTTAGCCTTGGGGGCGACTCCACAGATTACTTCTCATCTTGTTCTTTTATAAATGAGATGTAGATGCAAAATCTCTGTGAAGATGAAGCTTGTAGATGACTTCCCTCATCTACAGTAATATCCCTAATGCAAGAGGAAATCCTCACCAGCCCTTTGCGTGGCGAATTGTGTAGCTTGTTGAGAGTTTAAAAAGACTGCCCGTTCTGTAGATCCTGCACAATTTTGCTGCCTTGTTTTCTTGGTTATCCTAAAAATGACAGGTTGCTATTTAATGTACTTGGATTGACTTCACAGCCTATCTATTCAGTCATCTGCTTTCCTTGTTCTGCTCTTTGAAAGGATTTCATTTAATGACAACAATGAGATGGTGCATCTAGTTGATGGGACAAAATAAGTACCTTATGGATCATTGCTAGGCAACAAACACTAGCTCCAAATTGCCTAGGCTATGTCTGGGCTATCTTGCCTCCATATCATTAGTATAGCAGGCCCCAGTTTATTATTCTACCTGGAGCCACACTTTGCCCACGTTCCTGTTAGAGTATTTCATGCATTCCCTTGGGACAATCCTCTAATCGAGTGCTTAACGAACAGCCATGAAGGCTCTGTGGTTGCCCTACTTTCTGGGTGATTTTGGCCCAGCTTTGCAAAAGCACCTGGTGCCTGGTAGTCCTGTCACCTGCCTAATGAGCCCAAAGAACAAGTGTTTGTGTGCTGGCCTCCTTACGGGGGCTCCATTACCTTTTGTTTTGGAAAAGAATTCCTTACAATTTCATCTGGTGATCTGACAACTCAGGGGGAAAAAAATTTGCATTTAGGTAACTAATTTTGTGCTCAGGCAGATTTGATGTTCAGCATTGTAGTTTATGATGTAGAGAGACAGTTATTGAGTTCCTACTAAACATATCTTTGGTGGTCTCAGTGATACTGGGAAAGACTGAATTGTCAAAGATCTGTTGTTTTCTGTCACTAATGTATACACTGTTCTGTCCTGCTCCATCTGTTTCTACACTTAAATGGGATTCCAGTGAATTAATTAAGAACATGTCAACTTACATTACGAGTGAAATATATTAGGTGTCATGAAAAAGAAGTGCTTCCAAGAAATTTACAGAGTTTGAAGCTCTCGTATCATGAAAGCTGAACTTTGATTGCTCTGGAAAGATGGAGGGGCTGGATGTATGTGAGTAACAGAGGGCGCTGCGATAATAAAATATTTGTAAAAATTCACTTATCTGCCAGCGTGAAACGGAGCTCACCTCTTGTCACGATCACTGTCTGTAGCTCTGTGCCTACGTGAAATGTTAATCCCCAACGCACAGCAAAGAACATACCTTGTTTAGCAACTCCGGATACTCTTTGCTGTTAACTGCTGCAGGACAAAGGCAGAAGCCGGAATTCACAGCTTGCTAGATACTGAGCCCCTTGGGTCACCTAGAAGTGCAACTCACCCTTGGCGTGTCTGTCTTTTGCATTAGCGGGGCACAGAAAATGCTCTGCAGTAAATTCTCATTCTCTTACCTTGTCATGCTGTCTGTGTGTTCCTGTCTTAAGAGAACCCTAATTTATCTTAGCAGTAACAAATATTATTGTTTGTAAAATATAAAATTATAACTGTTACAGGCTGTCCCTCTGCTCTCCTGCAGCCTGTTCCACTGCCCTCCTTCCAACTTCACGTTAAACTAGAATTGTTTGTGGGACTGTGCTGTGAGAAGCAGGGATAGTCGTTGCTCCAGCAATAGGGTACAGACTCTGAACACACCCACTGAGAAGTCACTGTACCCCTATCTTTCCCTTTGGTCTGACTTCTCTTCTGAAGGTGCTAATGACCCCCTACCTTCATTTAGTGTCAAAGGGTCTTTAGTGACCTTGGAAGAAGGAAAACTGAGCTGTCGGTGCTAATCTCAAACACAAATGCGCAGCCCTTGCCACATTAGTCATGCTGTTGTCACCTCTAGATTGGATTAGCACAGTGCATGGTGTGTGGGTCTACAGCTGAAGACACATGCAGAACAGTGTTGTCTGCTTGTTTTAGTGTCAGATGAGCGTATTTTCTGGAGAGATGTCAGCGTTTGAGGAGCGCCCTCAGTCAAGATCCTGAGCTGACTTCTCATGGTGGTCTGCTGGGAGCTGTTTTGGCTGTCAGGCAGTACTTTAAAGCTTACCTGCTGCTGTTACCGTTTTGTGTAAGAGGATAAGTTGAAGGATTGAATGGGGCTGCAACTTAAAACCTAGTGAGGAGATATATTGGAGCCTTGCAGTTTACTTTACTTTGTTGATTGTTTTTCTATATCAATGATTTTACTATATGGTGCTTATGTTTAGAGGGATGTCCTTAAAGACATCGGAATGTGGGACGGTACATGGGCAGAAAAAACCTCCACTGCCCAATTCACATGCGAATGGTGCAGAAAAATCCAGCTTCCTTATTAGGACTAGTCAATCACTTGATCAGGTACAAAATAACTGCCTTCTGGGAAGGATGTAAGGAGTAAGAGATTAACCCCAGTCTACATTACAAATAAGTTAAATGAAGTACTAATGTTGAATACAGAAGGTCATGGCACTGAGGAAATTGTACTATTATGACTGAGCCAGTACACGTGAACAGCCTGTAAAGCAAAGAGCATGCTGCGAGGTAAAGACAGTGTCAGTCCTTGGTTCAACTGCTTGCTGAACTCTAACTGGGGATAAAAATATGATTTTTCTCTTGTAGGTCTCCTCTGTGTGTACAGCTGCTTGTGTAGTTTTTAAATGCCCACAGAAATCTTGATTCTTTAACACATCCCTCTCAGTGCTGCTCTGGAGGGCACAAGCTGCATTTTAGAACAGGTTCCACGCTGGATCATTTCTCTCTGTAACTTCTCCCTCTAACTTCTTTGCCCGTACCTGGATACCTGTTGGCATGGTAGTTCTGAGCCAGCAAGTGGGGTTTTAAATCTACAGCAAGAAAAGACATGAAGAGTGGTAGCAGGGGAAGGCACAGCAAGTATATTGGTGTTCGTGTTACTAGCTTGTGGCTTTTTCTCTGTAACTGGTACTTTAGAGCAATTGTGAGTTGCTGGACTTTGTGTGTTGAAGGGTTGGTTGTTTAAATTTGGCTTTGACTCTGTGGCATCTCAGATCAACCTTTTGGTCCCGCTGCTTTTGATGTTGTTACGGCCATCTACTTAGTTTTAGCAGGATCTGTACTTCAGTGTTCTGGCTTCTTCTGTTCTATGGCTCTTTTTAAAGTGTTTTGCGATGGATATGGAGCTGGTGGGGTGCAGCAGGCTGTTTGTGTTTGGAGTCTTAGTTCAGGTAGTCCCCCTCTTTCTGAAAAGAATTCTCTGTTTGGAACTATGAATCAAAGCAGTCTGCTAAGAACCTGCCAAAATGCGTGTGCAGCTGCTGAGGTTATTCTTTGGGCTAGGGAGCCTAATCAACCAAAAAAGTCTCCTGCTATGTCTTTGTCAGGTCATATGGCTAGTTTAAGGGGGTTCGCTCTTTTGACTGGAGCACAACGTGCTGCTTTGCCAGCCTTCTGCAGAGAACCGCTGCTGTCCTTCTAGTGAGACAGTCCCTGGTCTCAACACTGTGTTCCTCTGCTCTGGAGGGAGCCTGCTTGGCTCCTGCTCCTGTGTTCTGGGACTTCCACTGGAGAGGGAACGTGTGCAAGAAACAAGTGTAGTTGCAGATATCGTTTCAAGAAAACTGTTGCAATCGATTCTTCTTTTAAAATCAATTAGGAAGGCAAGAAGGCTCACCTGTGTTAAGAGATGCCACGACCTTTCAGAGCAGAAATGACTACGCTTATTTTGGCAGGATGTCAATTTACCGTTCTTACAGCCCTCAAGCTAGGGGAGGGTTAGTTTCCTACTTCAGACCCTCTACTGATGTCATCAGAAGACTAAAAAAAATGCCTGATTAGATTATGCCCTCAATGTAGTAATGAAACCCACTTATTAATGCTGTTTAAGTGTTTTAGGTAGTACTTGGCTTGTAGTAGAGAATCTGTTACTGGTTTGATCTATGGCTAGTTCTCTCTTTTTTTTTCCCCTCGTCATAATTTTCTCTCCCTCAGTATTTTGTTACCTAATGTGTTACTAAATAAGCTATGAGACAAAGATTGCCCACACTAAAAATGGTATGTTTAGGGACTCCTGCTCCAATGAGATTAAATGTTAAGAGGAAATACTGCTCTTACCTAGTTCTAGCTTTCTGCAGAGGGCCCCCAACCATTTTACTTTTTTTTTTCTGGTTGAAGCCTGTCCTGGTAATTCCTTTAACTGTGTGTTTTCTCTCCTTCCTGCCCAGCTTTCTGCAGAGGGCGTGTTGTGAGGGTGCCCAAAGGTCCTCTTATTCGAGTTGTGGGCACGGAGGTGGTGATCCCTTGCAGTGTTAGTGACTACGATGGACCAAGTGAACAGAACTTTGACTGGGAGTTCTCCCGGGACACTGACTTCATGCGGATAGTGAGTACCTGGGATTCTGCATTCACCTCTGAGGAGTACCAAAAACGTGTGGGCCTCGGGGATATCAAACTGAGACGGAGCAGCAACGATGCTGTGGAACTCGTGATTAGAAACATCCAACCAACTGACCAAGGGAGATACAAATGCTCCACGCCCAGCACTGATGCCACCGTTCAGGGAAATTATGATGCAGAGGTCCAAGTGAAAGGTATTTCTGAAGAGTGAGGTGTGCTCTAAATTTGTTTTTGATATTGATTTTACATGTACCCTTAGCAATGTTTTTTGTTGTTGTTGTTCTTTCTGAGCATTGTGATTTTTTTTTTTTTCCTTCTCTCTGTTCCTTTTTCATCCTCCTAAAGCCAAAAATCAAAAATTGGGAAGTATGATAGCAAAGGCTAGTGGGTGAAGAAGTGAAGCTGTTTATAGTAAACACCACTTACCTCTTTGTCTGTATAGTAAATAGGTAAATAAAAATAGGAAAAGTAAACAGTGGGTTTTCTGAAGATGTCTGCAAATATTTAATGTTGCTAAACTTCTGGGTAGAGAGGCTAACCAGGTAAAACACACAACCTGTCTTCTCTAGTTTATAGTGTCTTTCAGGGGCATTTCTATATGAAGGAGGTAATTTTCTTCCCCTTTAGGGTGTGGATACTGCAGTCATGCCCTAACTTTGGTCTCTCATGGGTTCTTCAGTAATAACTTTAGGGACTTTTTGTCAAGTATCTTGACTTTTACTCCCATGAAAACCAAGATGGTTCTGGATCGGAATAATCACAATGATGATGTTTGGATGAAAAACTAAAGCAAAGGGAAGGATAGATGAATTTGAATGCTTGTCTTGACTTGTTTAAAGTGGAGCACTTTCTTTAATGGATTTTCAGCAGAATTTCCTTGTTCTTGGAATACATTTGTGTGTGGAAGAGCAAATTATTGACTAGGTGTTGCTTTTTGGTAGTTTTACCGCCTCATACCTGAACAGGTCAATGTGGTGTTCCCTTCTTGCTTCTGTTTTATGATGCTTGTGTGTTTTCGTCTCTTTTTAATTTTTTTTAAATAGTGATTTCCGATGGCTTATCAGTGAGTGGTTCAAAAGCGCGTTCCTCAATGTCTCTCAGGCTGTCTGAGGGTGACTCCTTCAAGTTGCGCTGCTCAGCAATTACCACCTCACCGGAGCACACTCACCTGCATGTGACTTGGCAGATCAAAAGTGGATCAGTGTGGCGGGACATCCTCTCTTTGACTCACGAGGGCAAATTCCAGCCGGGCCCTGGCTATGAAGAGCGCTACCGTAACGGAGAGATCCGCTTGGATACAGGAGCGAATGACACGTATCGGTTATCTGTATCCCAGGCCTCCTCGGTGGATGGGGGTGCCTACAGGTGTCTTGTGAGCGAGTGGGTGAGAGGGGCAGATGGCTTGTGGCAGAAGATTCAGGAGAAGAGCGTGGAGATAGCAAGTGTGGCAATCCAACGCACTGGTGAGTGTTACTGATGGGCTGGGGTCACAGGTAGTAGTTACAGTGCTGTGTCCAGACTGTGGCACTTTGAGAACAGAAACTGGGTAAGCTGAATTAAATGAGGATATGTTTTGGGACAAGCTACAGTGCTGTTTGGATAGCTGGCCTGTTTGCATCTGAGTTGATAGAAAATACTTAGCATAATTTTTCTAGCTTGTGTTTTGGGGAGAAGGGGGTGATGGCATGGAAGGATTGACTGGAACCCCTAGATGCCTAGACCTAGACTTTCTCTCATCCGCAGTTTACTTTAGATTGCTTCTGGTTTTCATATTTCTTAAACATTATATTTAAGCCCTGAGCCCCCCAAACCTTCCCTTTGCTCTCACATTAACACAGGGTTGTCCCATAGCACTGAACAGCTGCACTTCCCCTGTAAAAGTGGCATGTGATTCAGTGACAGATTAGATGCTTTTCTGCATATTGTTTACTGAAATAGCATAGAAAGATCAAGGCAGAGGGGGAAGGCAGTGATAATTTACCAGGACAAATTATCCAATGATTTTTTCACTGACACTGGATCACTGATCTGATTGCTCTACTGTGTTGGCAGCACTCTAGGACAGTTATGGTTCTGTTAAAGACAATGTTGCATGCTTGACTAAGGAGATGAAAATGTCTGTAGTGCTGTGCTGAGGATATCCAGATATCTCTGCCCATATGGATTTCAGGAGTAGATGCATTAAGCGTTTAACTGCATTGCATTATTATTACTACTGCTAGTTGGAGGAGGGAGAGTGGGAGGTGACCTATCTTGTCACTCAGTAGGTGGAAAATCAGACAGTGATGGTCCCTCGGAAATGTGAGATTATGATGATGTTTTAAAAATGTTCAGACAATAAGGCTATCTTTTCATTTTTATAATCCTTTAATCACTATAGGGAGAACCTAGAACTGCTGGGATTTTTTTTTGCTAGCTCATTTGGAGGTACTTCTAGTATCCTAGTGGTACTTAGTCTGTGAAATTTGACAGGACAAACTACTCCTCCTTTTTCAGGGTGTCAGTTACACAGTAAAGCTCGTAGATACTCTCTGCTGCGGCACGACTTGCTTAATTAAGAACTGTAGTTCTTTATTGTCTTGCATTTTTGAGAGTTTGGTTTAAGTAGGTGAGGCTTAAGCAGTGGCTGGAGACAGGATAAGGATGGATGAGACCAGTAATAGTGCAGTTTTTTAATGTCGTTTGGGTGTGTGGCTTTGTGCTATTTATTTATTTATTGCCTTTTTTTTTTTTTTTTTTAAGCTCAGTCATTGGCAGCACTGACACTTTGTTAGGGGTGTGAAGGCTTTTTTTTATAAGTTATGCTAAATGGAATAAGTTATTCTCCAGCAAAATGTGGAAGATTTTGCACAAGCATCCTGTGATAGGACTTAAAGAGCATCTTATGCTGACGGCTGAAACCTCTTCACTTGCATTCTAAAATGAACTTAAGCTGTAAATGGTGTGTCTGGTTGCTGCACTTCCCTCATTCTCACCTGCTGTAGACTGTGGGGTCGAATTTGTAGGAAAAAAAAAACCAAACAAAACCCAACAAATTAAAAGATAAATTAACATATCTAGTGAAAAAAGTCACACAGTTTACTTGCGTAACTCTCTGGGCCTTTTTTTATTCTGTTACTTTTCTATCTACTTGCTCATCACTCATCACCTAAAATCATGACATTTTTGGTCTCAACTTTGTTCTTACATGTCTTCTTTTAGTAGTACCTTGCACAACAGATATGTAGTCCTAAGTGAGACCTTCAGACACGTCTGTAAGAAAAAAAGCGTTGAGAATATGCATATTCTTGGAGTCCCTCTGTATGCATATACTGCTGGATTCTGAATGCCCATCACTATTTCATGAAGGCAAAAGTGTTCCTTGGAGAAATGCTGCTCTTAACCTTGTAGATGAGTCTTATTTTGTATTCTGGTATCAGTCTGTTAAATTAGCCAGACTTTCCTACTGATTCCAATTCCATGATAAGATGTGCTGCTGAGAAAAGGCACTGCTGTAGCAGCCCTACCTACTGGCCTCAGCTGGGACTTTAAGAGCAGCTGCCTTAGTTATACACTGGGGGAACAGTGCTGCACTGAGATCCTAATCTAATCTTTAGGCAATGTAGAATGAGGGAATGAGCAATCGAAGACATGCAGTGGCCAGGTAACTTGGTGAATGGTGCGCACTGAAGTTTACAAATGACACAGCACCCCAGTTCACCTCTTGCCAGTAACTAAGGCCAGCTTTTCTGCTCCTCATCTTGACACTTATCCCCTGGCTTTCCTTTAGGAAAGATGTGGCCAGCCAGGTAATGTACAGAATGCAGAAAGTCCTGTTTGAAAGCTGGTTATGAGCATATGTGTTATGTTAATGTAGATATATTCACTGGTCAGTGGTGGAGTTTAAATGTATTTTAAGTGGCTACTGGCACCGCTTTAAAGTCCCAAGTGTGTATTGGTTAGAGCAGTAAGTGGAGGAGTCAGCAATATAAGGAGTTATTGCTGCTTTCTCTTTGCTTCCATTTCGTGTTCCTGCAACACAGCTGAAGTCAGTTAAGACTCCAATGTATGGCTGTGGTTTCTTCTCATCTAAATCTGTTCTGTTAGAGATGCTCAAAACCATTTCAGCAGAAAACAAGTTGAGTTCTAATGTAGTTCTGAGTGATTTCAGTGGACACTTTCTCCTTTGAGAGATAGTCCCAAAACACCTTGACCCTCCTGCGAAAAAAGAAAATCCTGTACATGTTTTTCTGCAGAGCAGAGGTGATGTGTGGTCTGTGATTGGGACAATGCCTTCATGGACCAGTTGCTGTTGACTTAAAATTCCCCTCCCTTCTCCCTGCCCTCATCTCTCCTCCCTTGCTTGACAAGTCAATATGTACTTCCCTTGTAATAGATCATGCAGCTCAGTAGCCAACAGGCATTTGAAGGTAGAGCTGTGGGCTGCTTGAGAAGCTTCTGTAATAGAACGTGAAGTCCTGGCTAATTTAGCGTACTCTTTAAAAAAAAATTATTATTTTTTGTTTCCTCTTCATTTCTAAGCTCTAGATGTGGTCATCTCAACAAGCAACGTGTCTGTGACCGAAAGAGACTCCTTGGATCTTTTATGTAACATCACAACAGACAGGAGTGGCATTTTTCAAGCAGAGGTGATGTGGTATTTTTCTTTGTCGCCTGATGATAGCTTGTCAGATGCTCAGGTTTTGCTGAGCATGGACCGTGATTCCATCGTCAGTGATTCAACTCTCATCAGCCTGAGCCATGTAGATAGGAACTCCTATCGCCTGTTGGTGCGTGATGTGGATATGGAAGACTCTGGCTACTACTTCTGCCAAGCAGCTGTCTGGGTGCCACTGCACAATGGGAGCTGGCATAAGGTGGTGGAGAGGACATCTGCACCAGTCAGTGTGGTGGTGACAGCATTAGGTGAGTGATTCTGCTTTTAGACTTCATGGGTAATGTGCATCTCGTTCCTTGGTCCCACCAGAAGAGAGGAAAATTTGCAGAATCTTCTGTGCAAGTTTCTCTCACGTTTCCATCTATCATCTATATGTAGAGTCTCTCTCACATATAAAAATACTGATCAATCCTATGAGGTTTTAGGTTTGCTTTGGGTTTTAGGATCTCTCGCTACATGTTCCGCTCATATGCTCCGCTTTCTGGTTTTATTGAACTGTCTGCAGTTGGGAAATAGAACTTAAAATCCCGCCATGTTTTCCAGGGGTTGAAACTGCCCCTGTTGTCATGTGTACTTTCACCTTCCTTGTACGATTAGCAGGGCTCTGATCCACCAACAAGCATTCTCTCTGAGCTCTGAACAAAGTGGTATCAGATGCTTCCCACTATTTGAGTCATATACTGTAAAAATTTATAATGGAGACTTCATAATGAACTCTAAAGGCTTTCAAAGTTGTTGGGGATTTGTTTTTTTTTTTTTAATCACTGGAGAGACACTAAGTCCTGTTGAGGGATTTAGAATGGAACATGACTTTATACAGCTTAGTTTTCCTCCCTCAACACACAGGTCTGTTTTATGAGACCATGTCACATAGCTGTTGAGTAGTGTGACTGAGTGGCAGATGTTTTCCTCCCTCAACACACAAGTCTGTTTTATGAGACCATGTCATATAGCTGTTGAGTAGTGTGACTGAGTGGCAGAGACCTGGCTTGTGGCTAATGTAGTACTAGCAGTGTTGATTAGCAAAATGTCTCTAAAACAAATTTTCCTGTAGCATTTAATGTTTCACTTGTGTGGTGCATTTTTCATCATTCAGTCCTAGAGATGAGTGGATTTTTAGCCTTTTGAACAAGCAGAGGATTATTTGTGCACTTGAAGTTATGGCTTCCATACACTACTTCAGCATTTCTGCTGCATGTTATTTTAATTTACCAGAGGGTGGGAAAAAATCTACTTAAACAAAAACTTGATTACCTCTTTCTTCTTTCTTTCCTTTATCCTCTGGTTGTTCTCGGTGGCTTTCCTTTCTTACAGCTTTAATACTGTCAGTGTCCACATTTTTTCCCCCTATTTATTTATTTTTTTTTTGCAAGGGACTATTTAGAAGCAGCTGTATTTAACAGTTGTGTTTTTTCCCCCTATTTCTTTATTTTTTTTTTGCAAGGCACTATTTAGAAGCAGCTGTATTTAACAGTTGTTGGTTTAAGATTTGTTGACTGAATGAGAAACAGAAGCTGTAGGCAAGAGATTCAACAGGCTGATCAACCTGGCCTTACAAGAGCAAGCTGACAGCATCAAAAAATTCCCAAGAGGTTTTCCCTGTTTTGGAGATCCACTGTCTCGTATGCATGCTGCAGAGGTAAAGCTTTTGCTTTGCGTTATCCCAGTTGAACTCATAAGCTTTGGAGATCTCTCTTTATGCAAATACCCTTAGAAGTAAAGTTACTTGGGAGAAATACTAAAAATGAAACTCCAGCAAAACTTCTAAAAAGCCTGTTGTTTTAGGGGTAGATCTAGATATGTCACCCTATCCATCCTGTCTCCTAGTTCAATCCTGGGGAGGGAGTAGCTTCATTTTGGAACCAATGAAATGCAAGATGACATTCACAAAGCATTGACTGTGTTGGAAGTGTAAATACACCTAAATGTGAGCTTAGGGAGAAGTGGCAGAGCTGTAATTCTTGGTGTTTGTTCCCAGCTTTGACTGAATATAAGTGTCTGGGCCTAAACCCTCTAAATGTATCCCTTCAGAGCCTCTTGCAATCAGAAAGTGGTGGTACTGTCCCACTACAAAGGGAGAGCTCCTCTGACATAAAAGTACTGAATGAGGCTAGCATATAGAAAGCCTGCTCTGAAGCCTGGTTTTCAGAAATAAATAGCTGTGTCACAAGGTTAAATTCGAGCAACAACGACTTAAAATTTTGCATTTTAGCATTGTACAAAGCAGATGAGGCGTGGCTGTTACCAAGTTTACTTGTAATGCATGCTAGAAGTGCACAAATGATGGATATCTTCATTTCCTGCCCTCGTTCAGCCATTCAGATTGCACATTCAACTTGTGTATGTTCTCTCCCTGCCCCACTTGTGTGCACGCAGATATATTCATGTGTGTACAGGGGCCCTGCATGCTCATATACTCTCTCATAGTGCCCAAACCGGTAGGACACTTCCTTACTCTTTCTGTTCCAGTTTGGGAACAGGGGAGAATAAAACCCGCTCTTGAAGCGTGGTTGCTTAGGGCAAGTGAAAGAGAATATATTTTCAGGATTTGAGGTTTTCAACTGCATTCAGAATTCACTGACTCCTCCTCCTCCTTAATGGCAGTTAAGAGCTGTTGGAGTATTAAGTCATGGAACTGTCAGTGAGGCTGTTCTTTGACAGCTGACAGAGTGGAGGAATGAGGTTTATCCAGCAAGCCTTTTATTCTTTCTAAATCCTCTGTTTGAGTGTCTGTCAGGGTGAAGAACCTATCTGGAGTGGTGCTGTCAAAGCCCAAAACTCTACTCTTAGTGGTCCTTCCCCTGCATGCAAATAAAACAAACCTGGAGTGATTTTTCTAAGAACTTGAATTTATTGAAGCTTTTACCTTCTTGTCTAGAGAAGAGTTTATGCTTTCATAGTCTTTGTTGCTGTGAAAATATTAGTTGGTCTTGAATGACTTCTTTTTTTGAGGGGAAAGGGTAGGCAAGAAGGAATGACAAGAAAATTGCAGAGCATGAACAATATATCTTGTGGCCCCAGAAAAGACTAGTCTTGTGAATGAGACAGGAAGAGCCGTCTAGCAGTAGAATCTATGAAGACTTAGACCAAAACTGGGTTTTGGCTGCCATTAATGATATGTGCCGTGGTTGCAGCAGAGCAGTTCTGTGCATTTTCTTTTTATTTTTCCTTTCTTATACTGAAATCTGCACTTATGTTTGCTGGTAGTAGATACTACAGTTTTCTGTAAACAGTACTTTGTGTGTTATCTAACACTGCAGAAGGTCACCACTGGTATCACTGGATACTCTAGTGTCAGGTATATATTAAAGCCCTTGTTCTTGCAAGATGCAAGGACACCGTGCATGACACTTGGTGGGGAGAGATCTCTTCTGTGAGCTGACATTACAGCAGCCAGCTTGCTTCATACAATTGTTTTTATCCTTTGCATCTGAAGTTCAAAACTAGTGCGCACACACAGTTTGCGCAGTAGTTCTATTAAGATGCTTTATTGTCTTGGCTCATTGGGGAGCTAAGCCTAAGTTTTAGCCTTGGATTGCCTTCTCTGTCCCAATTATAGCTTTGGTTAATTGTTTCTAGGAGGGCAAAATGCCAAAGAAAACATAGAGCAAGAAATAAATATAGAGTGGTGAATACACTTACGATGTAAAAGCTGTGTGATGAGTATTGGCTGAACAGTTGGAAAGCTAGTCTTTTTCCTGAATTATAGTAGACAGCGAGGCAGAAAAATATTCCAACACTAGTAAATAAATATGTATTTCCTTTGTGGTGTGAGGTTCTTGCTGTAATCTTTTTCCTTTACTATCTCTGTAGTCTGAGAGAAAATAGTCATGTGGCTGCCTTATCGCTTTTAGGCTTTGGACAGCCAGCTATTTCAGATTTAAATACAACAGCCTCATTCTTAACCCATGAATTTCAGGCACTCCTTTACAAGCTTGAGAGACTCCAGCCTCATAGCTGTAGAGCATGTACTCCTCTGCTTTTCTGTGGTGAATGTAAATCCAGTTGGTGACTGATCTCAAGCAGTGTCCCTCAGGACTCAGTTTTGGGGCAAGACTTATTAAATATTTTTATCAATGATCTGGATGAGGAGATTGAGTGCACCCTGAGTATGTTTGCAGATGACACCGAACTGAGCAGACGTGATCTGCTCGAGGGTAGGGAGGCTCTGTAGAGGGACCTGGACAGGCTGGATCGATAGGCTGAGGCCAGTCGTATGAGGTTTAACAGGGCCAAGTGCTGAGTCCTGCTCTTGGGTCACAACAACTCTAGGCAACGCTACAGGATTGGGGAATAGTGGCTGAAAAACTGCCCAGTGGAAAAGAATCTGAGGGTGCTGGTTGTCAGCTGGCTGAACATGAGCCAGCAGTGTGCCCAGGTGGCCAAGAAGGCCAATGGCATCCTGGCCTGCATGAAAAATAGTGTGACCAGCAGCTGGTGAGATGTCTGGAGAGCATGTCTTATGACGCACAGCTGAGGAAACTGGGATTGTTTAGTCCGGAGAAGAGGAGGCTGAGGGGAGACCTTACTGGTCTCTACAACTACCTGAAAGGAGATTGTAGCAAGGTGGGGATTGGTCTCTTCTCCTGCGTAACAAGTGATAGAACAAGAGAAAATGGCCTTAAGTTGTGCCAGGAGGGGTTTATAATCGATATTAGGAAAAATTTCTTCACAGAAAGAGTGGTGAAGCATTGGAACAGGCTGCCCAGGGAAGTGATTGTATCACCTTTCCTGGAGGTGTTAAAAAGTGTAGATGCGGCACTTTGGGACATGGTTTAGTGGTCATGGTAGTGTTGGGTTGATGGTTGGACTTCATCTTAGAGGTCTTTTCCAACCTTAATGATTCTACAATTCTGTGAGCTACAAGTCTTTGACTCTTAGTATTTGACCTACTTAGTATTTATTTTGGTGCCTGCTGAAACTTGCTGTGCCTCACTATTGGTGTTGCGTGTAGCTAGTCCCAATGGTGATACTCATGCCCCCTGGTATTGGTGTCTTGGTGGGTGAAGTCTTTTGGTTTTTAGGTTGTTTTTTAACATCCTTAAACATCATTGTAGAGAAATGATGGGATGGTGAAGTTTAGAAAAACAAGGCATTTCAGAATGGGAAATGTCCTCCTATCCTGAAGAAAATCTGGGGGAACGAGATGTCTGTGGTCAGTCCAAAGCTAGAGAATGACCAGTCTCCTGTTGCTGCAGGATGCCCCAGGCATTTGAACAGGTGCAAAAGGTGACTGTCTGGGCTGAATCTGAACCCACATGGTGCGTTTTTGGGGCCAGACCTAGGGAATGATTTTGCTCAACAAGCTCTCTTCGTTTTAATTTTTCTGAGATGACCTGACTAGACATTCAAAATGAAATGTCTTGTTTGGAAATGCAGGCCTAAGGCTACTTATGTCCGACTGGTGCACGTCTGAGAGATGGAGTCCAAGCTCCAAGTCCCCAGGTCTTGTAGGAGAAGTGCACATTGTGGCACTTGACTTCTAGCTCAGGTCCTTTCACAGACTGGATGCTAGAAGTTAGCAGTACCTCTAAATAAACTCTGGCATTTTCTCCCTTCTGATTGTAGCTTCTAATCTCTTTCTTCTGTATTTCCTTTCCTGCAGAGCCAGACTATGAGGTGTTTCTGAATGCCTCTAAAATGCCCAAGTTTTCAGATGACCCCACAGAGCTCAACTGCAGGATCACGAACGTACAGGACATGGAAGCAAACATCCGCTTCACAGTTTCTTGGTACTACAAGCAGCACCTGCACAGTGATGATGTGGTGACGGAGGAACTCCTGGCCACAATGGATGCAGACTGGACTCTGCTGCTTGGGGACAGGAGCAGAGAGCGGACTCAGAACGGGGAAATTATCTTCTTTAAAAAGGCTATTGACACCTTCAGTTTACGAATCCAGTGGACTTCAGAAAATGACCGAGGGGATTATTTCTGTGTCATCTCTGCATGGAGTAGGCACCGCAACAACAGCTGGGTAAAGAGCAAAGATGTGACTTCTGCATCTGTCAGCATTTTCTGGGCTACACAAGGTAGGAACCTTGTACCTGTTTGCTGAAAGACCTGGATAGCTGAGATAGTTTTCTCCTGACTAGGCCCATCAGCCAGGAGGTCTGCTAATGGGCTTTGGAAATGGGATTTTCCATTACTAAGAGGTAAAAACACTGTTACCTTCTCTGAAGGCCTTGTGGAGAAACGTAACTACTAAACAGCATTCACCAGTTTTATGCAAGTTTGGAGTGTAAGTGCAAAGTAGAAATTTGTCTGTCAAACTGTGCTGAGACTTCTAGGATCTGGACTGTCACTGTGGCAGGAGAGGCATCCAGTAGTGATGCTGGGGTCATTGCACCCTTGCATGACTCAGAGCATTTTGGTCTCTGTAGGATGCATCTTCTGCTAGCAACAGCATTGTCTGGAGGTAAGCAGAGGAATGTCACTCACTTTAAGTCTTTTTCGTCTGCCAGTTTGAGTCTTTTTTTTTTCTTTCTCTCGCTTCTGAGGAAGTTCATGGGCACAGGAGTACCAGAGAATCAAAAAATAAGTGTGTGGCAAAGCTGTTCAGTGATTTGCTCGGATCTAGGCTTTTTTTAGTCAGAAGTGAACTAGCTCTGGTCAGTATTTAAACTGAGACTGGGAGCATTTTGTGGAAGCTAAATAGTTACCTGAATTGCTTATGGCTGGTTTAAAATAGGTGTATGCATCCTGGATGTCCTGTAGAGTAATACCTTTTTGGCTTAGGTGTGAGGTTATGCAAGAGGGTCTGTTGAGTAGGGACAGAAGGAAAAGGATAACCTAGGATAGCAAAAATCTCTGCTTAGTTAAGCTGCATTTACCCTGATGGACTTGTTTAACCGTCTAGCTCAGGCAGCCACAGGTAGAGAACTATAGTTCAGAGACAAATAGCTTGAAATCAGTTTAAAGTTGTTTAGCAATAATCCCCAAACAGCGAATTCAGAGCTTCTGCTGTAATTCTGCTTCAGTGGAGAGAAAAATGGTGGGCATCTTGCTCAGTACTGCCTTCATCCCCAGACCAAACATGGTCCATGAAAAGGTTATAAGAGTTGTTTGGGTTTTTTGTTGGTTTTTTGTTGTTTTTTGTTTTTTTTTTGCTGAAGTTGACTTCTCCAGCAAGAATGAGATCTCTTATTAATGCCTAATGCTGGTCACGGTTGGTTCAGTTGTTATGCCACAACACGGAGCTTGTGTGTGTATGTGCATGCATGCGTAATGGATCATCGCCTTCGGAGCAGCTAGAAAGACCAGCTGGAGTTGAAAAGTCTCAGCCTGTGTTGACATTTCTGAGGGAAAACAAACAGTGACAGGTGTGAATGTTCCCTTGTTTCTGGTTTTATTCCAAAAACTCTGCTAATTTTGCAACACAAATGTAAATGTTATAGTCCCCATGCTGAGAAGTAGGTTTTGTTGGCAAAGCTTGGAGTTGGGGGATTTATGATGTGAAAGTGAGCTTTCCTACTAGCACCTTCTCCTTCTGAAAAAGCATGTTATATGTAGATAAGGGGAGGTACAATATAAGGATTTGATTTCCCTTTCTTCCTTTACACCTCTCACATGCCTTGCCCCCACCCCACTTTCAGCAGTCTAGCCCCAGATGCCTTTCTCTGCATGCCCGGTGCCCTTTCATAGCCTATTCGCTTGAGCTTCAGACTCTGCTGTGAGCCCAGTGCTGTAGCCAGAAAGTATGAAGGAGTTAATCTGCTGCTGCCTTTGCAGCTCTCTGACTGTTGTTTTGACAAGTATCTCTGGTGATTTGAGTCCCTAACTGCTCCCAGTGCTTATAAAAGTGAGCAGCCAGGCTCCCACGTGTTTGCCTAAGGAGAGAACAGAAATTTGCCTCTTCCTTGGATGTCTTGTGACTACATAGAGGCTTTTCTTCCAACTATTTATCATCTGTGTTAACTTTAGAGCAATGCTCGGCCAGGAGGGCTTTGGAGAAATCCTGCTTTGGAGAAATCCCACTTTGGAAACGGTTGTTCTGAGTTCTTCAGAAAGGAGGAATGGTTTGGGCTTTTTTGTGTGTTTCTGTAGGTCAGTCAGCACAGAGGGATGTTTGGGATTAGGAAGCCTTTGCTCGAAACGTAAGCATTATGTGAAGATGTCAAAGTCCCATTTGTGTGTGTTGTATAATAAGCTGTATGTTTGCCCATTTTAACGTGAGGGGTTTTTTGCATCTTTTTCTCTTTTGTTCTGTTGGGACCAGTAATGCTCATGTCTTTCTGCTTACTGAGCTTTGCAAATGCAGCCCATCACCATCATAGATCACTGCTGTTTCTGACACAGTCTGCCTGCCTTGTTTCTTCCACTCTTTATTCTACCCTCTGCCCTGCCAAGGTGACACAGAAAGCATCTTTATCTCACTGCAAAAATTAAAAGTGTAAATTATGTTGTTATTTTTTGCTTACTTAGAGTACAAATTCTAATCAGTGAGAAGAGGTAAAGGAAGGGAGGAAAGCTTTATTTGACTGGCTCTGTAGATTATTTTCAACTGAGAAAAAAATCTGGGAGCTGAAAAGATAACTTTATCAATTTGAATGTGAGTACTGCCTATACTTAAAGCACAATTTCTGTTTGCAGTGGAATGCAGAATTGTTTTTTGTTTCTTAAACCAGTATTGTCAGCTTTGGATCTTCATGGAAGTCATTGCAAGAGAGAACATTACCTTTTTAATTGAAATTTCAAATCCCAAAGACACTATTTTTTGATATTTTGTTAATACTTCTGTCTTTAATTTACAAAATAATTGTATTGAACATAATGTTATTGTCCGGGTCCTCCCATCCCATTTAATTGGGAGCAAGCGCATCTTTTATAAAGTCCTGTGAATAGAGGACAGGTGATACTTCTGCTACAGAATCACAGAATTGTTGAGGCTGGAAGAGACCTCTGAGATCATCAAGTTCAGCCTATGACCCAACACCACCACATCAGCTAGACCATGGCACTAAGTGCCACATCCAGCCTCTCCTTAAACACCTCCAGGGATGGTGACTGCCCTTCCCTGGGCAGTATATTCCAATATGTGACCACCCTCTCTGTGAGGAAGTGTTTCCTGATATCTAACCTAAACCACCTGTGATGCAATTTCAGGCTGTGTCCTCTCATCCCGTCACTAGTTGCCCGTTGCTACCTGCTTGCTTTTACCATTGCTGGTGTAGAATAGACACTGCGCAGCACAGATGTGCAGTTCCTCGAGTGTGCCCATGACACCAAGCTGCCGGGTGTATGTGCAACTTAGGGTGCAGGAACAAGAAAGAGGATTAAGTTGGGTGTAGAAGTCCCAGTTGGAGTGGCTGGGCTTCTCATATCCATGGCTGCCTGAGAGTGAAGTGTTTATGCTCTTTGCTTGCCAGGGATGGCGGGTGTAGTTGTGGGTGTGCAGCCGTGCAGAGAGCTGTTGCATTGTACCTACACGTATAGGGCTGTGGTGCAGGCCTTAGTGTGCCTGTTGTGTTTTCAGAGCTCTTGGTATCGGAGCTGCTGGGGCTACAGTTGTACCTCATGGTGTTGTATAGCCTCCATCTCCTTTGAAGGCAAAGCTGTCATTACCTTAATGTCTGTTGCATTCCCTATGCTTGCAAAATAAGTGGTGCACTGAGGGATGAAGAAGTCTTTATGAATTTTGAGATGGCGTTACTTGAGGCTGCTGACACTTAGGCTCTGAGATTAGTGTTAGCTGCGGCCAACGTGCTGCTTTTCTCACCGGAGTTAGTGGAGTGCAAGGAAGGTGTTCGCCATTTCCTAAAGTCTCTCCTTGCCCTTATAGACTTCCCTAGCAATTTAACTGGCTTAGATGAGGTGAAAATTCTTTTTGGTCACTACCCGGGAAGTACTCTTGAAGCCGAGCACACCCTTTGTGGTGGAGAGCAACAGGAGAATTACAGCGTGGCTTAACCACTTGGACTGGCCAGTGATGGAAGGCAGAAGCATGGGCTGCCAGACTCCAAAATACAGTTTATTACTCAATTTTTATGTGAATCATTTGGCTAGGATTTTTTCTGCTGTTAGCCCTCTGTCTTGGAGTAGCTCCCAAACTAGTTAGAAGCTTTGGGTATGGTTTATTTAGGATCTCTTCCCCTACCACTTTCCAGTATAAACTCTGCATATTACAGCCTCCTGTATATGACCAACCAGGGTCCATGGGATTGCAAGCTTGTGTGCAGAGGTGCAAGTGGGCAAAGTAAGAGTCAAGACAGAGACATTGCTTCAATGGCAATTGCCAGATTAGAAATGAGATCTTAGGCTGTAGTTCTTGGAAGAAAATAGTCTTTGACGTCTTTGGCCCACCTTATGCTGTAAGATCTGATGAGTAGTTTCCATTAACATACAAAACATGAAGAAACTCTCCTTTCCCACTTACCTTTCCTTGCAGGTTACTGTTATTTCTAACCTAAGTGCCAAATCTTTGGTCTCTCCTCTTTCTTGTAATGTGCACTGTTACACACAGGGACAGCTACATGCTTTTCTAGGTGGAGGTGATGGAATGCTAATTACATTTCATCTGGAGCTACTGAAGGAGAACAGTTCTGGCACAGAACCATACTGTTAATAATTGTGATCCAGTCTTTTCTAGTTGATAGTATATAGGGCCTTTCTTCTTGTTTTTCTATACTACATACGCAGATTTCTAATGTTACTGCAAATTCAGAAACATCTCTTTGATTTTTTTTTTGACTTTTTTGCAATAAGAAACATTCAGCACCTATATCTGCTGGTTTTGGTATCCCTTCTGTATTCTTATCTGCATTTCTTTTGGTCTCAAATAAGAGGAGGTGCTTATGCCTTCTGTATTCATCTCCTATAGGCAGACAAATCCTTTGAAAGGACTTTCATAAGAATGTATCTCCCTGTTCTGTGTTCAGCATCCTAATTTCTAACTGTTTTTAATTGTACTACCATTCTCCAGCTGCATCCCTGGGCCTCAGATGTTCCCTTGCACAAACTCAATACATGGTATTTCTGCTGTTCTTGCATGCTACTACCGCTCCTGTCTCCTTTTGTTTTTTAGCAAAAATAATTGGTAAAAGCAACATTTTCTATTGCTCTCAAATGGAAAGTCAAGAAAGGATTTCTAGGAAGAAGATTTGCTCTGTCCTTGCTGGGGACAAAACAATCCCCTGTGTACTGCTGCCTGACCCTGCAACTTAGGGAATGGTTGAAATAAGTCATTTGGAGCCCAGATAGTAGGGAGACTTGTCTTTTTTCAGCTACGTCTGTACTGCTCTGATCATCTGAAGGTATTTGTCTAAAGCACATTTATGGGAGACCAAATATAAGATTTCTTTCTTGGTGTATAGGGCCCAATGCTCTGACCTGCAGATGAACAGCATCAAGAATTCTTGCATCAGGAGGGATTTTTGTCCAGAGCCTCCTCATAAGGCTGAGAAAGGAGCAAGTACAGCTGCTGTTCGTGCATCTGGTTTGGGGGCAAAATATACTTGTCTACTGTATTCCTAAAATATGTGGCAAGCTGATCAGTGCTGGGCTCCTAAATGCTGCGACCTTATGAAGAAGGTTATATCAGGATCTCAGAGATGCAGAATGAGGGAAAAATGGATTTGAAGTCTAGAAATCAGATGGGTGATGAATTCTCTCACGAGGGAGGGGAGAATGACTTGGTGCGTGCAGCTTGAATCGTGATTGTACCCTGAGTGCCTAAATGTGCAACTCTTATATTCCCGCTCGCTTAGTGGGTGTTAGCGAGAGGGGGGTTGGTGTGGAGAGTATCAAGTAATTCTGTGCTCAGCTAGACCACTAGAAGCAGCTCAGCCTTCGACACTCCTGCTGTTTCTTTATATAGCTTTGTACTGTGATCTGCTTTATACAGTACTGATTTAAAGTTGTCATACTGGGTTTTCACATCTTGTGGACTGTGTTTACTCATTGTGAAAACTGCTGCTTGAAGGCAAAACACTGCAAAACGTAATCCTGACAAGTATCTTGTTGCTCTTGTGGGGAGGGCATAAATATTACTGCATTTAGTTCAGTTTGGGGGAATGTGTAACAATCTCACCATTGCTTATTTCTCTTTTCCTGAGAAGTTTCACCTTGCATAAAGGTGATCTGTGTAGTTTTTTATTTAATGTGCCTACACTTGCTTTTTATAAAGGGGGGAAGGGAGACTATGCTGCAGCAAAGTCAGTCCAGAAAGTTAGACTGGCTGTATTTTTGCCATACTGCTACTTCCCAAAGTAGCAGTGAGCTATATATTGTGCCCCAGCCCTCCCTTCCTTGGGAAGAACCTAGGTGCACATGATGTCTCTTTATCACAGTGCCAGGAAACTAGCAACTCCCTTTCCTTTTATCTGGTTTTGATTTCAGTCACTCCTCATTTTCTCAGTTTCTCACTGTGAGCTTCTTTTTTTTTTGTGCCTTGGGGTTATGCTCATAGATGTATAATTTTCTCAAACCCTGTAATTAAGGGACTCTTAGGATTGAGGAGCCGGCAGAGTTGGAGAATCCTAGAGAAAGGTAAGGTAACTGAGCAGTGTTGCTGGCATTTTTGATGTCAAATGTATTGCTGGGAAACATCAATGCTTCTGGTAGGTTTATACTCAAGTGAATGCATGAGAAGGGAAGAGAACCCACCTGGAGGCAGAGGTATATGGAACTTTAACATAGGGTAGGGATGCTGGGGATGGAGACTTCTGTTACCACCAGCTTTTTTGTCATGCAATTTCAGCTGATCTTGGGAGGTCAGCTGAACGTGTCTGGATTAGGGTGGATTTTCAAGGGAAATGAAAGAAACTACACTAAATGCTGCTGATTCAGTTAGCGGCAGCTTTTGTCAGTAGTTGTGAGTATTGCAGTAGGTCCTTGTACGCTGTTGCTACGGGTGCTCTTCTAGATCCAGTGCAAAACCAGGACTCTAAGTCATGTCTGACTAATATCTTTACTCCTGAATAAAAAAAATAAATCCTGGAGGTCCTGTCATGCTGACCTTTGTCTTGCATTATCTGTTCAGTGTTTGATGTTTGTTTGAATTCTTGCCTCTTGACCCAAACTATTGTCTGCTGATGTGTGTGCCTTGTTGAGTAGCATTCTGAGATGTCCATATTTGTTTTGGTAAATGTACTGGGATTTGTTTCTCCAAAAATGCTTTGCTTACTTGTAATCTTCTAGATTGAAAGGTGCTACAGAAATATCTACACCTATTTATTAACCCCTCTCTTGCTGCTTATTTCCTTCCCTCTTCAGATTACACGCTTACAGTGGAGGCAGTGAAATTGAAGCCATTCTTTGTAGCAGGCCACACCTTTGAGATGACATGTAAAGTGTCTTCGAAAAACATCAAGACGCCACGCTATTCTGTACTTATTACAGCTGAGAAACCACTAACGGATCAGTCAAATCCCAATGGAACCACTCGCATAATCTCCTTGAACCAGGATTCAGTAGTGCGCCTGGAAGACTGGACGGACCAAACTCGTGTCGACGGCGTGGTTCTCGAGAAGGTCCAGGAGAATGAGTTCCGCTACAGGATGTATCAGACCCAGATTTCTGATGCTGGGCTGTATCGCTGCGTGGTGACTGCCTGGTCTCCAGGTGGTGGTGGCATGTGGCGCGAAGCAGTGAATGGCTTATCCAACCCTATCCAGATAGACTTCCAGACGTCAGGTTGGTATAGAACCCAGCAGCTGCGTGTCTGAGCCAGAAAGGGAGAGAGTTCTGTGGTGCTCTCCCAGTGATTTCCCTGCCTCTGGGAGGTATCTGCTCTTTGGAGCATGGAAGGGGTCTCCAAAGGGTATCATGGCTGAGAGCTATGCTTGTCTCTTTTGGTGGTACTTGTGTCCTTTGTGCTATTGATTGTTTACAGAAAGATGTTTAATGATTTGACTATAATCATAACCTCTGGGTTTTTCTTTACTAATGCAGCTTTTATGGTCCTGCAGGCTCACAGCTGGTTCTTGGTATGGAATAACTGCTGCCACATTTGTCAGCTTTATCACTAGATTGCTGTTAAGTAGTGGCTGCTCTGGAAGAACATTAATATAAACTGGATTTCTGTTCCAAAACAGACTTAATTAGCATAGCATTAAATTGCCTGAGCACACCTTCCAGTTGATAGAATTGCAGAAAATGGTCAGGTTAAGTCAATGGTAACATGCCCAACATCTCAGTATAAGTGTATCCTGCCACTGGTGCCTTAGAGGCACCTTGTGGCTAGATTACAAAGCTCCAAAAATAAGGATGAACTTCTGTACTCAGAAATGCATCCTTTTCCTCACATCCTTGCTGAAATCTTCACTTCCAGCTGTAACATAGCCTGCCTGTTGAAGTGTGCCTGTCCTGGTACATTGTTCATGGAAGGGTGAGAGGGGACAGCATTGGTTTGGATCATCAGAGATGCATGTTAGCACTGAATTCCTATCATGCTATGTGGGGTGGGAGGTGCTGCAGGGGTTGTTTTTATAATGCTGATGTGCTCAGGAGTGAAGGTCTCATCTCATGATTTGATAAACCAAGCTGGTGACTTCTTGAGCAATTTTGAAAAGCTCTCAGAGTAGCCCAAAGATGCATCTTATGTTGAAGCTGTCTAGTTATCTGTTCTATCTCAAACCTTCTGCACTCTCCCATTCCTGTTCAGAGGCACAGCTTGGAGGAGTGTCCCTGCTCATATCCCTTGCCGTGTGAGTTATTCTTGGTGTGGCTGTATGGCTTTTAGAAGATCTGTTTGTGATTATGCAAAAGCAGCATGACTTTTGATTGCATCCAAAACTAAGGTACTTGTTCTCTACAAGATGATTTCTAAAAATTGAGCTTCCCTATGCTAGGCATACTGGGAAAGGGGCAAAGGCTGAGTGTAGGGGGACAGCCTTCCAATGGAGACATCGCTTTGTAAGAAGCTTTGAAATGTAGCGTGCTGATGCAAACCCTAATGAAGATGCAGCCTGAGCTAAGCTGACCAGAGAGAGGACACTGACTCAGCAAAGTGATGCTTTCAGTTCTAGGTAATTTCTGGTTGGCCTTTTTGTTTAGTTTTATGGTAAGTTACTGTTCTGAAAATAATGTTAGTTGCCTGTGTTGCAAATGCCTCTTGGAGCAGCACAGTCACAGATCAGTATTGGTGTAGATTTGTTGTTTCTTCAGGCTGGTTTAATGGGCTATAGTTTTAGTCTTATTACTCATGATTTCTATGTCAGACACAGTGGGAAAGCAGCATTTGCAAAGGGGTGATTCAAGAAATCTGCAAGAATGAAATGTGTCCCGAACCCCTCCCCTCCAAGCTCTTATGTGGAGGCTTTCCTGCACAAAAGTGGCAATTGGTGACTCTCCTAACATTGCTTGTGTTATGTCACTTTCAGCATCCATCCAAAAAGTTTGAGAGGATGCTATTAATATCAATGGTTCAGAGGCAAACCTGTGAGCTATGCAAGGGAGGGAAATTGTGCGTGTTGCAATCTTGAGTTCTTTTTGCTGTCACTCTCTACACCCAGCCTTTTCAGCCAGATAGGATTTCTGGAGCATGGAGCGAAGAAAGGGAGGTGGCCTGTAGAATGTGTGAATTCCAGAAGCAGGGCTGGAGCAGGGGCAGGGATGGTCCTGAAGCCCTGACAGCCTTTCATTCTTTACAAAATAATGAATTGAGAAGTGAAATCCCAGGCACAATTTACTGGGGAGATATTTCTGAAAATAATCTTGGCATGTAGCAAAATCTGGTTTGAAATACCTTGTTTTCTTCAATTGATGGATGAGCTTTGTGTCCTTCAGTTGTCACTCGGATATCCTTGCTGGACATTCATCTCTGTGCGTGATAAGGACATGTAACGAGCACAGTTTGAATGAACTAACTGTGGAATTTACTATCTGGAAAATTATTTTGGATCAGGTATACAAGACAGAAGATGTTTTGTGGATATGTTCCTTTGGTTTTGTCTGCTGAGATATACTGTCTTTCATGCAAACTAAGACTGAGTCAGGGAGCCAGAGGTAAATGGCAAAGTTGTGGAGCAGCTATAAAAGCACAGCTCGGGTATCACACCCTTGTCTTGCATCCTGTGGTACAGGCAGCTGTCAAACTTGTTCTGCAGAAAAAGAAGTCGCTGCCAGATTTTCCCTGATGGGAATGGTGAAAAGCAGAACTGCTGAGGTAGCTAATGGTTTCTAGGAAGAATGAGAGGCTCTGCAAAATTGGAGGAAAGATACTGACAGGAAAGGGTCAGAAAAAGCAGGGACACGTAACTCTACAGGTAACTGTAAAATCTGGGGAGCACTGCTTTGCTAAATCCTGAGTTAAAGGGCGATGGTGGGGTGTGATGAGTAGCTTATGTTTGTCCCTGGTAGGAGAACTGTTAATGAGTCATTTGCACTGACTTCTGGGGTTCTCAGAGTGTAACGAAGACATTTTAACTGTGACTGCTGGTGGGGAGTTAATAAGGCTGTACAATTTTGACAAATAGTGTTCCAGTCTCCTTCCTACTTTGAAGGCTTGGACCTTGACAGCATTTTCAACTTGCGCCATGGGGTATGAAGTGGGGAGGTTGTCAATACAGAAGCAGCATTTTCAGCAGAAGGAAGTGTTTTACATGAAGACTTTTAGTGGTAGGAGGCAGTGTTTTTATTGATTCTGCTTCGGTAGAGGGTGGGGAGACTTGCTAGGATTGGAAATCCTTCTCTCCAGTTTGATTTCCTCCCAGATCACCAGGTTGAGCGGTGTTTCGAGGAAGGATTTTTAGTGTGCATATTCATTGTGCAATGTGATCTATCTGAATGGCAGGAGGCATGTAAGCTTTTTATATATGAGCTGGGGATTGTGCACATGAAACTTCAGTGTTTCCTGCCACAATAGGCTTGAAATGTGGCAGTGCTCTGAAATGTTTTTCCATGAACATCTGTGGAAAATGTCTTGCTCGGATTCTTTCCATTCAAGGCAAAACTTGCTGGCTGCAAGCAGAGACCTCCTCTCTTCTTTCTCCACTTGCTGTTGCAGAGGGATGTATTTATTCCATTTGGTTAACAATCTGAAATGTTAATGTAAAGGCATTTGTTTGAAACTTCCTGAACTAAAAAATGAGATGTGGATTTTGTCCACTGAACTATATAAACTGCAAGTCAGGGGGTGGAGATGGTGAGGAGGAGCCTAGTAGGGCATTAGTTTTCAAATATAAAATCAATGGCAGATTGTTCTCTGCTGGATATATTTTAAGACCAGAGAGGTTTTTGTGAATCATCTGGTCTGGTGTTATGAATACCATGGATCACGACAAGAATTTTGGAAAATGAATGCCTGTTGTATGCCCAGTAGCTGTAAGCAAGCTAAGCTTGTTTGAGGGCAAGGGGAAGCTGTCCTATATGAAGATTTTAATATTTCAGTGCTTCTTTTTTGTTTTCCCAGTCTAGAACAGAGGTTCTGCCATCTCTTTACCAAGGGTTGCCCAGCAACGTGGGGGACAAGAGCAGCTGTCAGTTCTTGTCTTGAAATTTCTTTTAGTTAGTTTCATTGCATCATTTCTGGTAAAACTCAAATGCATCCTCTTTTCTCCTGTGTTCTTGGATGATGTATGTTTACGTAGCCTTTCTTTCAGCCTAGAACACACCTGTCATCTTTTCCTTGTTCTTCTGAAGCCAGTGTATCAAGACAGCTTCATGTAAGACTTGTGATCCTATCCACACTGAAACCTCTCACTTGTCTTCTGGTCACCTGGAGACATTGCTCCAGTGGCAGTGCCTTTGCACTGCAAGGGCTGAGCAGCAGATGAGAAGAGGCTGCTTTTTTTTTCATGCTCGCCTTTGCCCTCAGCCTTAGCTGAGCTGGCCAGCAAAGATTGAAGCTAAATAGCTGGGAACTTGCTTGAAATCAAGAGTTCTTATCTGATGCAGGTTCATATACAGGTATCTAGTTCATATAGCTCCAACTGGCCCGCAGCTATTTATTTTTTTGAAAAATGCTGAGGTTTCTAGTCTCTGTGAAATCCACCTAGTTTATCCTGTCATCATAAATTCTTTGACATTCATCCTTTAATTTTCTACCCCTTTTACCCTGAACTTGGCAACCCAGATTAGTGTTTGGAGTGTCTTTGCCCACTGTACACTCACAGGGATTTCCATAAAGTGACTTACTTTCCTTTCCCTTGAGGGAAAAGGAAGCTTTTAATCTCATATCGGGAAGTACAGTGTGAGAGAGAACCATTTGGAGCTTGGCTGTGCTGGAAGCTGGCTTCCCCCTGTGCCATTCAGCAGAGGACAGAAAGCTCTAGAGAGCCAAAAATAAAAGACAACTTTAAGAGAAGCGTCTCGATGAATTCTTCAACTCTGGATTACATCTGCATGTGAGCTCATTGCACAGCAATGTATTATCCTTCGCTTTGGAAGAAGCTGAGATAAACTGAGAGCTGCTGAAATATGAGCTGAGTATTGATGTTGAACTTGCAATTAAAATGAAATGATGCCCTGTAATGACCCTGAGAGATACTCAGTTTCAAGAAAGGAGAATAGAAAGATTCTTAAAGGAAAGAAACCTTAATCATGGAAATGAATGAAGAGCAATACAGCAGAAACTCTTTGGCAAGAAAGGCTGGAATTTTCCAGCCACTGTTAATGGGTGGGAACATGCTTTGTCATCGTGTGCCTTTGTGCCTGTGTGCATTAATTTGTAGCTGGAAGTAGAAACCACAGAC